CCAGTGAGATGATCGGGGTAGGGGGAGAAGGGGGGGAGGATTTACAAGTGAATGGAGGTAAGAATGGAGCAGTTTGTGGGATAAAGGGGCTGCAGAGGGAGCTTTACAGATGTGCAGAGGGACGGCGGCTCATTGTTTAATTAAGCAGAAAGTGGCTCTTTTGAAAAGCAATTTTGCACAGGAGCTCTGAGCTCAGCAAACAGCTCCTGCGAGGGAGGGCAGCGGGAGAAAGGAACAGCTGGCCCGGAGCCGTGTGAACCGCATGCTAAGCGGTTTAAAGGGCCCGGGTGCTCCGCTGCCACCCCCTCGGCAGCGCCGGCGTCACCGGCAGCGCCACAAATCCGGCCGGGAGCTGAGCGGCAGCGGRGCTGCGGATCCAGCCAGGCGGCCGCGCAGCCCCACGCATCGAGGGCGGCTTTGTGAGCGCAGGGCTCGCCCGGGAAGCGCCTCGCCGGGGAGGCGGGATGCACGGATCCGCTGCCGGGGCGCAGGCAGGGAGCGTCTCCTTGGCTCTGGCCGCAGGCCCTGGAAGAGCCGCAGGGTCCGGGCCGAGCGCTGCCGCCGCCTGCCCATCCGGGGGGACCCCCCAGCCCCTTTTCCCCACCAGCAAATATTCAATTACCTGCTCCAGAGAGATCAGGGTAGAAGCCAAGTCCTCCAGGAGCTGCAAGTGCCATGCACTGTCGTTAAAAAGGCCTGGATTGCATGAAACTCCTCCAAGTGACATTTTATTATTGTTCTCCCAATAAGTCGCTTCACTACTAGAAATATTTCTATTTCTTAAAAAAAAAAAAAAACCTAGGAATAATAAGCACGGCAATAAAATTACAGGATAGTCCTAACTTATTAACCGCTAAATACCACGCAGCAACAGTGCCGGGCACTGGCAGGCAGCGATGCCAACTCTCGCTCCTGGTGTGACACGCTGCCGTGGCCGGGGTCCCCAGGCCATCCTGAGCACGTGCAGGGGCCTGCACCCCGGCTCTGACCCGCGAGGATCCCCCAGCTCTCCCGCGAGGTGCTGCTGGGCCTCTGCAAAGGGGAGCTCCCGAGGAGCACACCACGTCGTCTCTACGGGGATCTGCACATTAGCAGCACTCAGCAGGTTATTTTAATTTTCCTCTTAAAAAAGAAAGAGCTGATTAGAAATGKTTTTTTGTTTGTTTTTTTCTCTCTGTGGTTTTGGTGAAGGGAAACCACAAACAATCAGCAAATCACACTGATGAAAAACGCATCCTTGCAAACCTGTGAGTGCCAGAAAACAGCAAATTCCCGACTGCTCCAGAAGGCTGAAGCGATCGTTGCTGACACTTGTAAGGGCTGCTCCGAAGCCAGGAGCCTGACCACCAAAACGGCGGGAGAAGATCCCTTGGAGCTGGAATGAGAGGGCCGGGAATGAGCCGCATCCAAGCGGCCCGACCGTGGTGCAAACCCGAGCCCCTCGCGCGCCCAGCAGCAGCAAGGTCGTCCTAAACACTCTCYTCAGCAGGACCCCACTGATCTACACCTAAAACTACCACCACAAGGGTTAAACGAGGGCAGTTCTTTCCTCCCCTTCCAGAGAGGCCACGCAAYGCGGGGCCACAAACAAACCCAGCACTGTGAGCGCCGCGAGATGGAGGAAGGGGCTGCGACGTCGCTCGCTGTACAATGATCTATTTGATTGCTGAAGCACTTGCTTAAATTACAGGGGTTTGTTTCAGGAGGAGGCTGCCAAATACATTTTCGGGTTTTAATTTAGGGTTTCTCTCTTTTATGCTCCATTGTCTCTAACAGCCTCTTAGATGCTTGAAAATAAAGTTGATTTCCCTGCCAATTTAATCCTCTCTCCGTGTGACAAATATCGTTATTCCTGCTGCTGCCTTCTCCCACACACAGTTTTTATGCAGAATAAGCCAACAGGGCATTAGTGCCTTTAGATCCTTTAACAACATTATCAATGAGATCACCAAAATATTCAGCATTTTGGGACAAGATTCTTGTTTAACTGGAGGTCTTCCTTTGCAAACAGATTACACGGCCCCTGCAAGAAGTGTGGCTTACGTAAAACTATATGCCTAGACAAATATATATCACACCTTTTTAAATTCCTAGCTGTCAGCAACTTAAACACGTGGGCTAAACCAGCTCCACTTTGGAAATGAGGAGCTGCTGCTTTACTGACAGTTGTAAGGATACAAAGAGCCCCTTGGATAACAAAAATAGGTCTCGCCACACGGCTGAACCCCTGGGGACTTGCTCTGGTCCCATTTGCAGTTTCCTTCCTTCTGCCTTTCCTAATCCCCCCAGGAGCTTGTGGCCAGGCTTCAGAAAAGGACACGGGAACAAATCTGCTCAAAAAAAAAGAGTTAACTGCATTTCCAATCCACCCACTTTCCACCTAGTGTCTGTTATTGGGAAATTAAGGAAATGAGCGCCCACTAATTTGTTAAAACAACATTAGTGTCATCGAGAGACATTGCCCTTGTCAAACATGCAGCACAGGTTGTTTTGCTCACTTAAATATTTGTAGGTATTTGTGCAGTAATTTCCTATCTCCCTTTGCCTCTAGGATATATATTTAAAAATGTCTAAACAATTAAAAAATAGCTGGGCCCATTGGCCCAGAGAGAAGCAGCTCCTCTGCAAAAAGGAGGACAAAGACAAAAATAATCTAGAAAGAAAGGAAGAGTGGGTAAGAGAGGCCAAAACTGCCAAAAATAAGCTTGACAGCWAATGAAATCAGTTGAAATAGGGTTATAAGTGCATGTCCTCAAGCACTGCTCATACTACAGGTCTTTCCCCAGAGCATCGGCTGGTGAACACACAGGGTAAGGTGAGCAAGGACCAGGCAGCAGAGTGCACAGCTGGACAGCTGCTCTCTAACCAGTGCAATCCTGGCTGCACGAGGACAGCAAAGGTCCCACCTGCCTGTAGATACATCCTTGTTTGCCCAGGCATCTGACTTGCACTTCCGTACTGCGAGCGAAGGCAGCACGAGGCGCACTACAACACTGCCCTGAGCTGCAGTCTGCTGCTTGCTGGCCTTTCTGGTCCAGCTCAGGGTTTCTCAGCTCCACAGTGCAACCAGCAGCAACCAGATTGCTCCAATGATCCCTTATGGGGAAAGTTCCCACATGAATTCCATGCCCATCTGCCTCACCCTGGTGCTGGATGTAACTATCCCTGTAGCAGGACCTGCAGAATCTGGTGTCTGCTCCTCAATTACTGTAGCCTCCAACCAGCCCTAAATTGAAAAAAACCTGTCCCTCAACAGGCACCAAAACACCAGACTCTCAGTCGCTGGAGTTTAAATGTGGACGCGCTGCCCACTCTGCTGCYCCCGTTACAGGGAGAGCAGCACCTGAAAAACAAGGCAGCACGAACAAGCAGGAGCAATAACCTGTTAGATGAATCTGGAATAAACCACTGAAGATCCTGGGTTTGAACCCTGAGAGGAAAGCAGATCATCAGGGAGAGGTTCAGTCTTTAGGATAAATCCAGCTTCTAGTGAAATGTATGGAAATCTTCCCACCAGCTTCAAACGGGAATGAATTAGGCCACATACAACCGCACCCGGGACCTCCATCGGTTCCCAAAAGAATCATTCTTTGGCTGTAATTCTTCCCTTCTCCACAGAGAAATAAACAGCTCTTGTAATAACCCCTTCCTTCTGAGCATCCGACTGTGGTTTGAGCGCTACCAGTGCGGCGGGTGTCTGAGAATCCTCAGCTTACAGAGCACTAAAGAAAACAATACTCTACCTCCCATCCCCAGCAAGTTTAAAAGCCACTAAAATGAGTGTTTTGGCATTTCAGCTTTCATGTAARGATCTCAAGCACTTTAATAGTGCTGGGATCTCGCATTGGAACTCTCTGGTGGTACACGAGAGCATCACCACTGCCTCAGCGGCGACGGGGGAAAAGGAAGCAACACRACCAGACACACAGAGCAAATCAGCATCGGACCAAAGGGTGGAAATCAGGTTTCTGGGTTCACAGTCCCTGCTGTTAACCAGAGGATAACGCCCTATTTCAGTGCTTCATTTACACTGGAATTGTACTTATTTATGTCCAAGCATCAGAAGCGTTTGGACCARTCTCTACTAACTAGGTCTGACTGATTATCTCAGGCCTCGATGTTTATAACATACAGATTATGGTGATAACCATTCAYGAGATATTAGTTGTTAACACTCACTGATGCTCTATATTATTTCAAAAGTCTATAATCCCATTCTCTAACAGCATAAAATGTTTCTAGCTGGAAGAATTCAGAACACACCTGAAGCAAAATCACATTGCAACTGCAGGATGCATGCACATAAGGAGAAACAAGAGAGCTAGCACAACACTCGTCTATTGATATTCCAAATCACGAAATGGAAATTATCACTGTTCRTCACCGGGGTACTCAAGTCTTTAGCTTAACAGCTTCTTATTGTTTTACTGCAGGAAAGGCTATAAACAATATGTTGAGCATCATGCTCAAGCATTAGCTTTGCCAGTTACAACTGCATAGTTAATTTGAAACAATTACATAAACTTAAAAGTCAAACAACAAGTAGATAAAATATATTCATATTACCTTGCTGTCCACACACACATCTATGTAATACATATATATGCACATGCATATTATATGCCTTTTGAAAATAAAATAGACAAAGAGGGAGAGTCTATTCAGGTGGTTTCAAGCACCAGCCAAGAGCAACGTAGATTTGCTGAAAACGGTCAGAGTTTGTTGTTTGTTCAGAGGGAGAGAGGCAAAAGCCTTAAGGAAGGACATGTTTCATAATTGCTTAGAGGATAGGAGAGGTATTCAGACTACTTCTGCTTTGCATTTGCTTTGAGGATCAACCATCGTCTGCCAAAAGATGTGATCAATAACGTGTCTGAAATTGCTTTTAGAACACGGTAATTCTAGTGGTAAACGAACTGCTGCACAAACCATCATCGCTGTGCACGGGAATCTCATTTGCTGTCACTCTTTTGACTTATCTCAACATTTCTGATACTCACAAGGCTCTGGTTGGCAGGGCAAGGTCACTTGATGCTTTTTAACACCATCAAACAAGAGTTCTGCACCACCTCTGCAACGAAAAGAGCAAGGCACTGAGTTTGTGTTTTATCTGCAAGGGAAAATACCACAAAAGGGGCCATTTCCACAGATGCCGCGATAGGGAACAGGAATGACACAGTGTATTCCCGATAGGATTCTCTGTTGCTTTTCCTGCCACAGACTGCAAGTTCTCAGGGAAAGCTGGTGTCTCCTATGGCGATCACAGATCTCAGCCCCGGCCAGGACCCCGGTGTGCCGGGCATCTTCCCAAAGGAACAGGAAGGTGGCAACATTCCCAAAGAGCTTTCAAACTGTCGCGCAGCATCCAGCGCTAACCCCTCCCTTTCCCTTTTGCTCCCGACACCGCTTCGATTCGAGCAGCAGTACGGGCACCGGAACCACCGTCGCTCTCCTGCAACAGCTTCCCGTCAGAAATCTCAGGGCATTCCACAAAGCAGGAGAATCCCAACATCGCCGTGGAAAATAAACAGTTCTCCAGTTTCCACTTGCAGGCAGAAAGAGGAAATGACTCATATGAGGTCACACAGCGAGAGAGCCGCGGAGCCAGGAAGCCTCGAGCCTTGGCAGCCCCTTCCCGATGTCGCTGCTGCCCCGCGGGACGGACGGGGACACTGGCGGAAGCGCACAGAGCAAGTGGCAAAAATTACAAATGCAACTTAAAAAAACCCTTTCTCTACCCAACAACCTGGTTTAAAGCCCCTTTTTTGACATTCAGATCTCACTAGGGGTCGGGCCTTAGACAACACAGAGATTGTTTTTGCTACCAGGGCTCTTTGCAAAAGAACCAGGACGAGCGAAACACAGAATAGGGCCAAGTTCAGCTGGACCTCAACCCTGAAAAAATGGGGTTTCACCCCCAAAATGGTGTCTGGTTACCTCATTTCCTCTTGAATTTTTGTTTCAGTTTCACATCTGCAACCTACCAGCCTGTAGCTGGTGCCTCGCATATACCCGCTACCTAGAAAAGGGCAAATCCAGAAGTCTGGAGCTCTCCAAACACGGGYGCCTGTCCTGCTGTTGTGCAGCTGCAGGCTAGACTCGGTCTCCGAAGCAAATTACAAAGCCAGAATCAATTCTTAGACTCGAGACTAACCAATAAAGCCAAAGCTTCAACAGAAAGAAAACGCTAAGTCAACTGAACTGACCCAACTGATGCTCAACTGAGGTAGAGAAATGACCCTCCCTTTCAAAGAGCATCTCACTGGAGCAAAATGGCTTTCCAATTTAAACTTAGATACTTTAGATAACGTTTCTTGCAAAAATACATTCAGAAGTCTTCATGGGTGCCCTGCATCTCTCAAAAACTGCCTCAGTTAAGTATTCACAAAAAAAAAAAAATCACCTAAACAGCAACAAAAATACATCCAGACATTACTGATTTCCTTTAAATTCGATATCTAAGAGTGTCCCGGGAGGTTTTCTTGGCTCCGCAATGGCCGTACACAACAGAACCCTTGTTATGCCATGGGCAGCATCACTTATATGCAGCAGCTCTCCTAAAGGGCACTCTGTTGGTGCTCTTCCCCCAGCTCACAAAAAATAGTTATCTGGAAATTGAAGCAGCAATTATTGCCCCGAGCCCGGGCTCCCGCGGCCGAACAATCCCCAGTAATTATATGAAAAACATTTTTTCATGTAACGAAAACAAGGTCACGCTTTGTTACGGCGGGAAATGTAGATTGCAGGATAAGGTCCTTCTGTAAGGCGCGAGCCGGGGAGGACTCAGCTGTGGGCTGTACATAGAGAGCTCATTTATGCATTTCCAAGGGAAGCAAAAAATGCACCTCGCTCTTCTGGGAAAATTTAGGAGAGATACTGCAGCTGGAAGCAGGAAAGACTGAGGAAAGGCTTCTTGAGGCGAGAGTATTTAAGCGGTTATGACATTTCTGCGTCTGTGGAGCGGTGGGAAAAAAAACCCGAGTAAATAGCTGCCTTTTAGCCTTCGCTAAAAGGGGCTTTAAGAGCCGAACACAGGCGCGGCCACAACCGCTCCCAGACGGCCAAGGGCAACGCGCGGGGCGCGGATACTGCAGCAACCTGCAAGTCAGAACGTGGTGAAGAACTTGGCTGCGTTAGAGCAGGAGGGAAAGATCAGGGAGGAAGGATTAAAACGGCACCGAGGGCGCGGGCAGGCGCTCCGCACACGAGAAGGGTGCGGGAGCGCCAGCGGGGGGCTTTAGTACTAGTTTTAACGGGTAAAAGTGAAGAAAACGGGGAAAGGGGATGCGGCGGGCCGGGCCCCGCGCCGCTGCTGGGCCCCGCTGCCCGGGCCGGGCCC